ACCCGCTGGGCGACGGCTGCTCCACGCTGCTGGGTGAGAACCTCGCAGGCGGCCGGGTGCTGGGGAGGGTAGGTGGGTGGGTGGGTGCCGCTCCTGGGTGCCGCAGGCCGGGGTGGGCCTGCTGTGCGGGGAAGGGCAGTCTGCACTGAGCACGTGAGAACCTGGGCACCTGTCTGGGTGAGGGTGCACTGGCCCCACCGATCCCAGAGTTAGGAATGAGGACAGGGTCTCAGCCCCATGCCCGGGGCCCAGACTACGTCCCAACTGCCCACGGAGGCAGAGCTGAGGACTCCAGGGGCTCTGTGCTGGGCCCCCGGTACCCAACCCAGATATGGGGGTGCGGGGTGGGGGGCGCCGCAGAGTAGGTCTGGGCTGGGAGTGAGTGTGCGAGCTGCCCTCCCAGGGAACGGCCCTGTCCCACCCTCCCCGGCGTGTGCCCCAGTTGTCTTGTCACCTGGTCCTCGAGCCCCGTGTGTCTTGTGTCGGAGCCTGTCCAAACGGTCCACATGAGTGTCTGTTCTGTCCTCTGTTCTCTCCCCGCCTGCCTCCAGTCGAGACCGTGCAGAGAAACCCCGAGCTGGTCCTGGAGGGCGGCCCCCTGACCCCCCTCCCCGGGGACGGCTTCCTGGAAACCAGTATCCCAGTTCCCGAGCTCACCTGGCAAGACGGGCCCCGCCCGAGCCCGGGCCCGGGCTGTGCTGAGTGTGTGTAACCCCCCGTCCGTGATGCTGTCTGCTTCACTGGCTGACGCTGGCCTGTGACCCCCCCTCCCCCCCATGCTCCTGACTGCTCGAAGTTTGTAGGACTGAGGTGGAAGGAAGTGGGGCCAGGCAGGGCAGGTCCGGCCGAGCAGGTCCTGGTGCCCGTCCTCTGCACACCGGGGCAGAGCAGGAGGGGGCCCAGGAGCCCCGAGGGGGGAGCAGCTGTCCAGGGTCACCGAGCATGGGTGCCGGTCCAGGTTCTCTTTTCCTACTGTGAGGCTGGCAGGGCAGCCAGGAGATGGGGTGAGGCCTCAAGCCCCCGGGACTCACCTGTTCCCCCAGGAGAAGCCTTCAGTCCCGGTGAAGGGCTGGACTCTCAAGCCTCACTCCTTCCCTCCCTGAGAAGGTCCAGGCACCTCCTGCACCCCAATCCAGATATGGGTCCTTTAGCCGAGCCCCTATCCCAGCTCTGCCCTGCCCTCAGCCCGGGCCCAGGTGAGCCTGCTTCAAGCCCTCCCTCCGCACCTGCCTCGGTCAGTGTGGCCTTTGTGTGAAGGATGCATGTGAGGCCTCAGCAGAGGGCGTCCCTGGAAAGCCACCCCAGGCCCCTGTTGTTAGCGCCCCTCAAACCCAACTGCCATGGGCTGTGGGTGAGGCCGGGCTGGGCCCTGAAGACCAAGAAGGCTAGACTAGACCACATCAGGGGCAGTGAAGGGGGGTAAGAACGATGCCCCGGGGGGTCATGGGCCTGGCTGCATTGACTCCCTGTCCACTGTGTCTCTGTCGGTCCCCTGTCCATCCAGCCCCGGCCCTCCCTTCCTGCCTCAGCTCTGTGCCCTGCCCTCTCAGCCCTGAGCAGGCAGGCCCTGGCACATTTGGGCCCATCCTCGCTGCCAGCTCTGCTCGTCTCCCGCTGGAGGTGTCAGCCTTGCCTGGCATAGCCTGGCCCCCCAGCCCATGCGGGACCCTCCCTCCCACTGCTCAGGGGCTGTGGGCGGGGCGGGGCCTCTCTTACCCCCGGGTCTCTGGTCCCTGTCCACCTGCAGCGGAGGCGCTCCAGACCCACAACGCACTCTTCCAAGAGCACACGGCCCCCTCCTCGCCCGGCGCGGCCTCCGGCACCCGGGGTTTCCGCCGAGCCAGTGAGATCAGCATCGCCAGCCAGGTGTCGGGCATGGCGGAGAGCTACACCGCATCCAGCATTGCCCAGAGTGAGTTCCCTCCCTGCACTCTCCCCTCTGTCCTGCAGGGGGCGGTGTGCGCCCCGGGGAATAGGTGGCAATGGCTGGACACAGCTGGGGAGGGGGCGCCTCTGGCACCTGGTGAGTAGAGGCCAGGGATGCTGCTCAACACCCTGTAATGCTCAGGACGCCCCACCATGGAGCAGTCCGGCCCCAGGTGTCCACGGAGGACTCTGGTGAGAAGGAGTGGTAGAAGGGGGGCCCAGGGGCCCAATTCCCGGGGGTGGAGTTTGGCAGCACTGGCTCAGAAAGCTGGGAGTCAGTGGGCCTGGTTCTAGCCTTGGGGGGGGAGGGGCGCGGAGGAAGTGTGGGGTGCTCCCTGAGGGAGAAAGCTGAGGGGTGTTTCTGGGCAAGTACGGGGAGCTGGACAAGCTGGAGGGTTGGCTGAGGGAGCCAGGGGGCAGAGGTCATGGCGGCCTTGGCTCGGTGCCCATCTCAGAAGAGTCTCTGCAGCGGAGTGCCGGTCACCCCTTCTCAGTGCCCCCAGCCGCTGCCCTGCCATCCCCA